AGCATGATTTTGCAGCTTTATTCACAGGATAATAGCACAATAATGACGATGTTGTGAAAAGCATCACGCTATTGTGCGATATTTATGGGATATTGACGGGAGCATTGCGTTAATATCCCATTTCTTTTGCTCATGTGATAAACTCCTAAAAATGGAAAGGGCAGCTATGAAAGAATTAAACAAGATCCTAAAGGGTAACGATATACAATTGAGCACTAAATTTAGGGTCGTCTATGCCATAGTATTCCCTATTACCATGTATAGATGTGAGAGCTGGACAGTGAAGAAAGCTGATAGAAAGAAAATTAACTCATTTGAAATGTGGTGCTGTAGAAGAGTGCTGATAACACCGTGGATAGCCAAAAAGACAAACAAATGTGTCCTTGAACAGATCAAGATTGGCTTTTCCCTGCAAGCCAAGACGATCAAATTGAGGTTGTTATACTTTGGCCACATCACGAAAAGGCACGATTCAATAGAAAAAAACAACAATGCTAGGAAAGGCAAAAAGAGAGGAAGACTGCACACCAGATGGATAGACTCACTCAGAGAGGTCACAGGTCTGAATCTACAAGACCTAAGCAGAGCAGTGGAGGACAAGAAGGCTTGAAGATGTCCACAGGGTTGCCCATGAGTCAGGGTCAACTTAAGGATAGTTAACAACAACAACAACAACAACAACAACAACAAATCTTCAATTATATAATTTTAAAAAAAGGATCAGGTAGCAATTTTTCTGGACAAGCTCTGCTTTGGAGTCACTCTCCATCAGAACAGGCAACACTAAGTTCAATATAAAAAATTCCCTGACCTGATAGAAGGCAGCTGCCCACAATGGTCTCATCCTCCTCATATTTATTCTATCCCTCTTGTGGAATTTCCTGAAGTAGTAGGAACAGCAAATGACTATTTTCCCATTCAAATGGAAGAGCATTTTGCTAGACATTGTCAGGGGTTATAAACAGATTAACATTTCAAAACAAGAAGAAACTGATCAGGTGAGTCAAAAAGACTGCCTGAAGGGGGTCTTGTCTGTCATGTAACAAAGGGCTTCCCTTCTTACATCACCCAAGGACAAAATGGAACAAAATAAGCTGTAGCCTTTATGAAGGTGGAAGACTGGGGAGGGTGTGTGTGAAACCAATCCAGTCCAATAAAAAGACTGACAATTCTCCTTGGAATGAGCCTTCATTAGTCCCTTGGCAGCATGCCCACATGCCACAGGAAAACTCACATTTGGTTCACACTTTTTCTTCAACGCAGCTAAGAGCTGATGATTGCAGAAACGTGACTGCATCTTTGGCAAGCAGGCAGGGATCCTGGATGGGAGACGGCCGCAACTACTCAGTTTCTCCAGTCAGGCAGAGAATTGTTTGAAATTTTAGCCTAGTTAACATTCTTTCATCAGAAACATCTTTCCTCCAAGCTCCCATCTGTACTAGTTTTATTCTTGGAAAGACAGGGGGAGAAGGGGCAGGGAAATATTTGCACAGTTTTATCTGGGGAAGCGACGGTTCCTTCCTGATGTAAAGGTGTTGTTGGGATTAGATAAAATGATGCAAAATGTGTTGTTTATTCAGGCTGAGACTTGAGTTTGGGAAGTTGACACTTGGGATCTGCCAAGCACCACGGAGGCCAGGAACAAGATTTGAACAATGCGACAGCACTATTGGGATAGTGTATGCTCCACAAATTTCAATTACCAAGCATCAAACTAATTGCTAAGAAGTAATGGGGGTGTGTATGTGGGGAAACAGTAGTCTCTCTCTTTCATTATGCTAGTTTCCCACTTGAATTTACTTTTCAAATTGATGTTGGGTGTTTGAACATTATGCATTGATTTTTGAATAAATTCTCTATTCAAATGTGATTCATAGATTCATATGTGTTAAGAAGCTTTACTTTCTTTGCTTTGCTGTAAAGAACAGTGAAGACACTTCTGTCTCACAGTCTGAGCCATAGGCAGCAGCAACTAAAACTGATTTGTTGGCTAGGACAACTATTTGCAGTTCATTGATGTGAAGGAACATCATTCAGTGCACAACATTTGGTGACAGAGATGCTTCATAGAATACTAACCGAAAACCTACATTTTTCCCAGTGGGGGCACTGCAGCATGGAAGTGAGCACCGTTTGAAAAAGATGCAAATGGACATATATTCTTAAACACAACATGTTTTTGGCATGTATTAAGCAAGCATAATATATATTAAAAAAAAAAAAGCCTGAAGAGATCTACCATAGAGCATGCTTGGAAATTATATAGCATGGGCAAAAGTGTGGCTCTCCTGCTGCTTTTTTTGGACTCTATCTCCCATCATCTCTAGCCAACATAGCCAAGAGCTGCAGTCCAACAACATTTGGAGGGCCACACATTGCCTACAGACCGCACCCAAGTGAATGGCTCAACTCCCCTTTTTTATTATCCATTCCTCTCTCAGTAAATCTAATAGCCATATGCAGCAACATCTAAATGTATGATAGCCAACTTTGTTGTTGCTATGAGCCTTGAAGTTGTTTCTGACTGATGGTGACCCTAAGGTGAAGCGCTCATGAGGTTCTCTTGGCAAAATTTGTTCAGAGGATGTTAGCCATTGTCTTACCCTGAGGCTGAGACAGAATGACTTGCCCAAGGTCACCCAGTAGGCTTCAAGGCCGAGCTGAGAACTGAACCCTGGTCTCCAGAGTTGTAGTCCAACACTGAAACCACTACCTGCCTTTTCATTCATTTGAGGCTGACTCTTGCTTCCAGACACATTACTGCACATTATGTCACGTTTCTCTTTCAATATGTGTCAATGAAACTTGATCAAGACCCAGTCACCATTTACACCACAACTTTCTTTAAGTCTACTCAGAACTAAGCTCTTCTTGTGTGCCTTCAGGTAGTTGCTGACTTATGACAATCCTATCATGAAGTTTTCTTGGTGAGATTTGTTCAGAGGAGGTTTGCCTTTGCCTCCCTCTGAGGCTGAGAGTGAGTGACTTGCCCAAGGCCACCCACTGGGTTTCCACAGTGAAGTGGAGAGTCAAACCCTGGTCTCCAGAGTCAAAGTCCAACACTCAAACCATTATGCTACACTCACTATTTACACCACTATCTTCTGTATGTCTTATTCCGAACTAAGTCCTGCTATGTTTAAGAGGGCGTAATTCAAGGTAAGCATATGTAGAACAATAGTTTCCCAATAACTGAATGTATTTTAATGAAGAACACAATGGCATATGTACTCGGTGTGGTGCAATGCCTTTTGCATTCATTTTGTGGTTTGGTATACGTACAAAAAGTGGGGATTGGTCCTAAAATAGAGGTCTATCCGAAGTTCTATGAGCAAGTGAAAACTGTGGATGTGCATAAATAGCTTACCATTTTGTTGGTTAGCCAATTTATATTCCAGAGGACTATGAGACATGACATAATGCTTGTCTCATCCAACAACAACTGTGCTTTAAAAATAAGACTAAAAAACTACCCTTTAAACATCTAACTGTAGCTCTAGCTAGGGCTACACTTCAGTAGGACTTCGTGGAGGTAAATAGTGCCCTCTAAAGGAATTTAGTTTGATTTACAAGGTGTTAAATGGCTAATGTTCTTATTGCTTTCCCAAGAACACAGTTCTCATACACTAGCATCGAAGAAAAACATTATTATGGAAAGTATGTCAAATCATGCGAATTTGGTATACTACTACAGCACAATGTCATCACCACTGCAAAGGTGTGCAATTATTTTAAAGAGAGCAAATATGAGGTTCACACAGCCATTGGGAAGGTATACATTATTCCCCAGAGTATTTATTTTTTGCCATGGAAAATTTAAATAATAATAATAATAATGACAACAACAATAATAATTTTATTTCTACCCTGCCTTTTGCAGAGCAATCAAGGCGGCTTACAACTAAAATGAATTGAGTAAAACTACCCCAAGAGAAACAATAAAAGAAGTTACAATAAGAATCAGATCAAGGTAGTAACTAGAATATTTGCAGAAAGTAATACATCAAGCTACCTCAGAGGTATATATATCTGAGGTATCTAATTATTTGAATGAATAATTAAAAAGGCTTGAAAAGAAGACCTACATTTGTGGCAAGTAAAAGACACAGTGTGACTGCTTTTCTCAATAAGAAGTAGATTTGCAGCAACAGTGCTTGGCAGATGAGTTTCCTACTGACTGTGAGTCTTTTCTGCTGCAAAGAACAAATCTATATTTACTTTTATGTGCATGTGTGGATTTTAGCTTGTTTTTCTTTGTCCTACTTGTCAGTCTTTTTTATTAGTTTTCCTAACAATTTGTACTACAAATGCATAAAAATGCAATCCTTCTGAGACTTATGTCCTGTGCCAAAAGGGTACAAATGGCAGCCTTTTTCAAAAATAGTTTAAAAGCTTCTCTTATCCGTTCTGCTATAGACCAGATGTTTAGTTGGTCCACATATGAGCCTTCAGGATTGTTCTAGACCAATTCCTGCATAAGTAGGCAGATTTCCAGACAGAGGATTTAGGATTACTCTCTACCCTGGAAAGCGTCGTTAATATTAATATCTGGATAATTAAACACATATAAAAAGAGGCTGTATTTAAGTTGTGATCTTGTGGTCCCCAGAAGGGTATCAGAATGGCCATATGTAATTTGCTTGCCTGATTCTCCCCACTTCAAGGTGAGTAATTCTAAATCCTCTACTGATCCTTAACACAGGATTGTCAGGGAAAATCTTAAACTCTTCCAGATTCTTGAACGCCTAAGAATCTAGGGACCAAGGGGCTAAGTGATCACTCTCTGGTCTGGAGAACATTAGACAAATAACCTTAAACCAGGAGTGGGCAACTTGTCCTCATTCACACTAACATCTCTCTTGCTTTGCTTTGGCCATGGGTGGGAATTGTGAGCCTCCAGAGGTTGTTGGATCAGCCCTAGTCAATATAGGCAATGGTGAGGGATATGGGGTGCTGCAGTCCGGCAATATCTGAAGGGCCTCAGGTTGCCCACTCCTAGTGCCAGTATGGTGTAGTGGTTTGAATGCTGGACTATGACTCTGGACACCAGGGTTCGATTCCCAGCTTGGCCATGAAAGCCACTGAGTGACCTTGGGCAAGTCACATGCTCTCAGCCTCAGGGGAAGGCAATGGCAAACCTTTTCTGAATAAATCTTGCCAAAATAAATAAATAACCCATGATAGGTTCACCTTAGAGTCACTATAAGTCAGAAACAAGCTGAAGGCACATAACACACATGCACACACACACCTTAATGAGTAGAATGGGAACAATTAATTGCCCAGCACTCAAATTAGGTCTAAAAGCAGTTTCCAGATTTGTGTGTGTATGTGTATGTATACACACATACACCTATATATGTCTATCTGTCTCTATCTCTAACTAAATTAAGGAGATGGATTTATTAACAAGGATGGGGGAAATGGGACAGTTATATACAAACCAAAACACAAAATTGGGATATATTAAAAAATAGGATAAAAACAAGAAAGTACAGGTTGAGACACCCTGATCAGGAATTCCAAAATCCAAAATCCTCCAGAATCTAAAATTGTGCATGTGGAAGTGACAGCTTTGATGGTTCAGGGTACACAAACTTTGTTTCATGTACAAAATTAGCTTCAGTCTATATGTATAAGGTGTACACAAAACATAAATGAATTTCATGTTTACACTTGTGTCCCATCTCCAGGATATATCATTATGTATATTCAAATATTGCAAAATATTAAAAAATCAAAATACTTCTGGTCCCAAGCATTTCAGGTAAGGGAGACCTATACAACTAAGCTAATTCTACACACCAAAATGATCCCACTAGAAAAGATCCATGATCTTAGGAAGAAGATCAAAACACCATATCCTCCGACTTGTCTTGGATGAGAACAGGGACACAGCAGCAAGGTGTGGTCCAGATGGCCAAAGTAACTTAGAAGGAATCACAAAGTTAGGAGAAGCTGCAGCAGTTTGCTTTTGCCTGAGTCTACTTAGAAGGGTAAGATTCTACAACCTCCTCCCCTTCCCTGCTGAGTTTAACTAAGGGCAAACTACTTTTGCACCTTGAACTCTGTTTTCAGCAACTGATGAAATAAGCTGAGGAAGAGTAGGGATTTTCAAACCATCTGAAAAAACAAGACAACAGATGGTTCATTGGGACTGTCCCTGCCAAAACAGAAGTTTGAGAGTATGCAAGACCACTAAAGAAAACCCAAGACTACACATTTCCAGCATCTAAAAGTCTTAACTTCTAATAGTCCAAGCTATGTAGCTTCTATAGCAAACGCTAGGCAATTGTCACTTAAAGTTGAGGAAATCAACACAAAAAGTTATACTGAACCCCTATCAGAAATGAGCAAGCTTAACATCGCCCAATTTACTCAGTTTTTATCCAGTTTTTTTATTCTAAAAATCTTACAACCTAAGATAAATGAGCATGTAGAAACAGTTTTAACATCCATTACCAGCATATCTTAAAATATGTCTAAGATAATTTCTTGATTAACAAAATTGTAGCTCTGCAGATACCAAGGATATTAAATTTGTCCCAAGAAATGAAGGCTAAATCTGGGCTGTAGCTCCAAATTAATTTCTAAAAATCCTCTCGCTACTATAAAAAAGTCCCACTACCAGTTTAGTTTATGATTGTCATGTTGTAAATTCAGCCTTAATTGGCTTGTCCTAAATATGCACAGAGTTCAAATCCTGGCTCAGCCATGTAAACCCACTGGGCGACCATGGGCAGTGCCTCAATTTAATGTGCACTATTTCTGGCAGTCTGCAAAGGCCCTTAGTCTCAGAAGATGGCAATGGCAAACTCCCTCTGAACAAATTCTGTCATGAAAAGCCTGTGATAGGTTCACCTTAGGGTCCCCATAAGTGGAAAATGACTTGAAGACACACAACAACAAAGGGGTCCTTCTCTGTGTCTGGTGGGAATATGGGAAAAAGTCTTTTCATTGGCTGCCCTATATCTGTTTCACCTCTCTTGTTTCCCTAGAGGTTAGACTGGTATCCTCTCTGCTATCCTTTCATATATCACAAAAAAACTTCCCATTTTGAATCAAATGAATGAAATGGATCTAGCAAAAGGAGGTCAGGATTGGTCTCCTTTGGATGATTATTATAAGAGAAGACAGTCACTAGAGCAAGCTAAAATAGTAAAATTCATGGAACTTTATGTGGAAATGACAAGAAAATCAAAAGAAATAATATATAAGCATTATAGTAAAGGACTTTGTATAGCAAACTTATAATATAGATATGGGGGGTTGGGTTATTTTTTGGAAGAGAGCTAAAATTATATATGAGTAAAACAGAATAAAGAACATGATGTAAGATTGAGGATAAATATGGTATTTGTTGTCAATGGAACCAATAGGAAGTTCGTAGTATTGTCTAGGTTGCTGTTTTTGATTGTATTTAGTTATTGTTAAGATTTTTTTTATGAATAGGATATTTAAATAAAATTAATGAAAAAAACCTTCCTATTTTGTCACGCTTTTGATGGTTGATTGCTTTGGGAGAAAAAGGCCTTTCAAAATGTACTGTACTCTTTTGCTTTCTATGATATTGATTTTAAAGCTTTATTTGTTAAAAGCTTTGTAAATCACCTTGAGTCTCAGACTGGGGGGAAAGTGAAATATTCACCACAATGATGACTAGGATTCTACCTATTAAATCAGATGTTGAAGGGCAATCTCAAAGGCCACATCCAGGCTTCCTTTTGGCCAAATCAGGCTTTTGTGAACCAAATGGGTCTCTTCAAGGCAGGCAGGTCCACTTAAAGAACCAACAGGTCCCAATCACTGCTGTTAAAAGTAGGAATTGTCCAATAGTTGAGATGGCATACAGATGCAACAATAAGCCCAAACTTTTTAGAAGTGCAAGCTGCCTGGGAGTTCCCCCTGCAAGTGAGAGTAGTTGAACAAACGGCAAATTTTAAATCCATGGCTTGTCTAAACACAACTATGATACTTGTCAGTCGTTCCCCCCCATCACCACCATGTTCATTTAGTCTATGCCCTCTTCCGGTTTTTGCAGGACCCACACTCTTTAGATCCCCAACATGGAAATGAGAAACATTGGTCAAGAGAAGGAATATTAACTCTTTGGAAGCCTTCAGGAGTAGCAATTATTTCCTGAAGTAAGGTATGCAGTTAAATGGAAAAAATGTTATTTTGGGGCTTTAATGAAACTCCATTGTTTAAATGAAATAAAACAAAAACAACAACAACTCTTTCCTCCAAACTCCCAGCCCCAGAACAAATCCAAAACCATTTCGAAAAAGAGTGCAGCTTGCAGCAGGACTTGGATGGTAATGATAAAATTTGTTATTGTTTTGTGCCTTCAAATAATTTCTGATTTATGGCTACCCCAAGACAACTCTATCATGGGGTTTCCTTGGCAAGATTTGTTGAGAGGTTTACCATTGTCTTCCTCTGGGGCTGAGAGCATGTGACTTGCCCAAGGTCACCCAGTAGGTTTCCTGGGCAAGAGGAGAATCAAACCCTGGTCTCCAGAATCATAGTCCAGCACTCAAACCACTGCTCTCCAGTGATGAAATTGCTTTCTGGAATTATCAGAGGTATTCACTCCTGGGACCCTTTCAGACCACACAATTATAGCACTATGAATCTGCTTTAACTGCCATAAGAATTCTGGGATTTGCAGCTTAGGGAGTGGTATTTAAATTCTCAGCTGGAGAGCTCTAGTGCCTCACCAAACTATAAATCCCAGGATTCCTTAGGATGCAGCCATGGCAGTTGAAGTGGAATCATCATGCCATAACTGTCCAGTGTGAAAAGGCCCCTGATCACTAAACTTTGTTTGCAGGAGGAGCAGTCAAGAGTGTGCACAGCATAACACTATCTCCCCATTAACCTATAATTGTTTACAAGCACACCTAGTTTTATGAAGTCTGCAAACATTATGAAATAATTCGAGCCAGTGTGTCACAGTGGTTTGACTAAGACTCTGGAGACCAAGGTTCAGTTCCCTGCTTGGCCATGGAACCCACTGGGTGACCTTGGGTGAGTCACACTCTCTCAACCTAAGATAGCAACAGCAAACCCACTCTGAAGAAACTTGCACCCCCCCCCAAAAAAAAAACCCTACAACAGGCTTGCCTTAGGGCTGCCATAAGTCAGAAATGACCTGAAGGAACACAATGAAGATCCCAACCCAAGTGAAATGACATTAGCTTTCTCTTTAATGAAGCTGGAGAAGGTACAAGACCTCCATCAGCTAAGACCTAATGAAGTGTCTAAGTATAGCTTGGAGTTTAATGGGCAGGGAACTTTAGATGGTAACTGTTTTCCTTTTTGTAAAGAACTGGAATAAAATAAGATATAAAAATAGATATGTTTAAAAAAAGTAACCCAGAGAATATTTGTGTCTTTTAAAGTGTATGCTCACATATGATCTACACTGACACACTACAAATTGGAACAGATCACTTACACAAACCGCCTGTATTGTTAATCACATCTAGTGTGTGTATCCTAGCAACGTGTCAGTAATCAGCTGACCATAATACTAAGGGGATGATTGTTTCTGCACAGATGTGATATGATGTACCAAATCATATTACCATTTTAAAAACATAATTTAAATGGGAGGCTATTACATTTGGTTTGACAAAAAAACCGAAGTTTGTAAGTGTATCTTCAAAGCTCTTCAGTGGCTTTTATCTTCAAATGACTCCCCACCCCCTGAAATGTGTCATTGAATAAAGAAGAAACCCCTTGGAAAAATGCTTCAGAAGCAAGCATTTTGAGTTATTTTTGTTGAGAGCTAGGGTATGGTGGAAAATGGCATGGCTCCATCTGCTACCTCCTTGGTGATATCTCATGATTGTGGCAAAGGACATATGACTGGAGTGAAGCATGGCCTTATTAGCAGAATCAAAGTTGTCGGAGACAGAAACATACAGGAAGGCCCCCATATAGCAGATAAGAGTACTCTGAGTTTAAGCCTAATCTCATGGGATGGCTATGAGGTCAAGTTATCATGTAACCTCATGCTAAGCCCTTCGAATCAAGTGGGTAAGACATCTTAGTCAACCACAACAAG